AATGTTGGTATGTATGTGTGTGTGTGTTGTATACCTCTTTAATAGATATAATTATATATATATGTATATAATTATATTTATTAAACTCAACAAATTCAATGAATTTAACTCAAGCAATACAAGACAGCGTCGAGTTGTCATGAATCATAAAGGTTCTAGATGGTTATGTATATCTCATTTTTCGGTCCTAGTGAAACTAACTCGAACTTGAATTATTGTAAACACCCTCTATCTATATGTAATATATTTATGCTCTATATATAGGGACTCTACCCAACCTAGAGTCCCTATATATAGAGTCTGGCCACTCGATTAGTTTGGAAAACATGGCGGCGGTATATGCATAGACGCATCTTGTGTTTACCATATTTATGGAATAAAACTTTTATTGACTACACCTTATTCGACTACAAATTGATAGTATTAATAAAAGCAAAGTGAAGCCTATAAAAGTAAGTACAATTATTTGGTATATAGCTTCTAAAATAAAATATCTAAGAATAATGATATTATAAAGAAGTAGGATTTGTCATAAAAATTGTAATTCTAACCTTACATTGTTTTTAATAGTTTTATTTACAATGAGTTTTATTTATAATAAGTTTTATTTAAATGAGTTTTATTTATTATTGTGATACAAACATTATTGTGATACTGAATATATAAGTAATAATAATATGTACTGTAATGATATGATTTTAAGTATTATTATTAATTTTTCTTTATTTTTCAATTAAAAATTTCTAGAAAAGAATAATATTAATTGTTATTAATTTTCTTGTTCTATTTCTTTTCAAATTATTATACTTTTTATAAGAATTCCTATTGGTTCCGCCATGTTTTTCCAAACTTTGTTTCGACCAATAAAAATAAACACAAGCGTGGCCAGACTCTATATATAGGGACTCTAGTCCTGGCTAGTATATACTCTCTCCTGTTTCTTTTTACTCAATGATAATGAAGTTAGTAGATATATAACCTATACAACATATTTTTAAAATAAAAAAGTATAATATAACAATTAATAATTATGATATATTTTTTTACAGTTTAAAAATTATTTTTGTGTTTTACGTGAAACTTGTAATTTACTCATTAATATGTTCAAAAGAAGTGAATATTATCCATCAGGAAGAAGAGGCATAAAGACAAATAGCGTTTTCGATTATACAGGATTTGAACGACCCAAGATTGGTTAATGACGTCATTGCAACCTCTCCACCAATGAAAGACTTGCATTTATAGTAAAATAATGATTGATCAACCCTAGATCGTTCAAACCCCGTTTATTCGAAAACGCTATCAGTCCCTCTATTCCTTAGTCCGTGGTTGCGTCCCATTTTTCGGTACGAGTTATTGCGAGTTATTAGATTTTACTAGTTTCTTTTACTATCTGTCAAGACAAAATATAAGATACTTATAGTGATACGAGATACTGTAAATAATATAAATAATATTTTAGTAAGTAATTATAGAATTGAAAAAATAAAAGAAATATAATTCTTAAATAAAATTAATTAATAAGATTAATAATTAATAAGATTTACATAAGTAGTTATTATTAGTTTTAATACAGATTAAATTAGACATTAAAAATATATTATAACCTATATATACATATTATTTTTCAAGAAAAGTATAATAATATATAAAATTGATTTTCAGTAAAAACTTCTTTTATAATAAAAAATGGATAATAAGGAAAATGTTAAAATTTTATTAATGTTATATCAACAACATCCTTGTTTATATGTTACAAAAAGTGTTGATTATCATAATCGTATGAAACGAGATCAAGCTTTACAGATAATCTGTAATCAGTACAAAGAATTAACAGGACAACCACTAACAACTAAAATTGCAAAAAAAATTAATAATTTAAGATCACAATATCTGGATCATCTAAATAAAATAAAACATTCGAAATCAAGCGGTGCATTACTTGATGATATCTATAAACCAACTTGGTGGTTGTTTGAAGATATGAGTTTTCTATAACATAGATCAGAAAATCATCATAAAGAATCGTAACTCGATTACAACGCAAACTATATTCAGCCAAGTATAAATATTATTGTTCGAGGACTCGGACCGAGATCTCGGATTGAATTCTAGCATCGTGGACACAAGGCTTTAGTCCGTGCGATGAGATCATCATGTTCTCCCCTTCCTTCATCGCCCCTCGCCGTCAAGCTGTTTCTAGCTCCCCCCTTCCTTCATCGCTTCTCGCCACAAATAGCGTTTTCGAGTAAACGGGGTTTGAACGACCCAAGATTGGTTAATGACGTCATTGCAACCTCTCCACTAATGAAAGACTTGCATTCATAGTAAAATAGTGGGCTTGTTCGTTTTAGCTACACTGGGGCTGCTTTGGGTCTGCTCTACACAGGATAATACAGGACAGATAAATAGTTTGTCCTGTATTATCTGTTTAGAGCAGACCCAGAGCTGCCCCAGTGCAGCTAAAACGAACAAGCCCAGTGATTGATCAACCCTAGATCGTTCAAACCCCGTTTACTCGAAAACGCTAAAAGCTGTTTCTAACTCCCCCCTTACTTCATCGTTCCTCGCCCTCAACCGGTTTTACTGAGGTAACCTTCTCTCTATAGATCTTGGCAGCGTTGCATGCATTGGTTTATGCGTTGCATAATGTCGCATGCAGTGTGCAGCAGCCATAGTGGTCAGGAATGAATGTAAACTAACGTGTCGATTACTGACTGTTTTATATATATAAGTACTTAAACGTGCAATTTTTAAGAGAAAATAAAATATGCCGAAAGTAAGACGAAGCAAAAAACCGCCACCAGATGGTTGGGAACTTATTGAACCAACTCTAGAAGAATTGGAGCAAAAAATGCGCGAAGGTGAGTTTGCTTGGTTACGTGCCTCGGTTTGACGAAGGCGATGTTTTGACATGATTTATTTTGTTGCAGCCGAAACCGAGCCTCACGAAGGCAAAAGGAAGCAAGAATCTTTATGGCCGATATTTAAAATTCACCATCAGAAATCTCGTTATATATACGATTTATTTTATAGGAGAAAAGCCATCAGTCGCGGTAAGCATTAAAGCATCATTCGAATGCTTTTAAAAGCCACGTATGTTATTTAAAAAATCAGCACGTCTAATTTTTCTGTATTTCTATTTCAGAATTGTATGATTATTGTCTGAATGAAAATATTGCAGATAGAAATTTGATTGCCAAGTGGAAGAAAGTCGGCTATGAAAACTTGTGTTGTTTACGATGTATTCAGACGAGAGACACGAATTTCGGTACAAATTGCATCTGCAGAGTACCAAAAGGCAAGCTTGAAGAAGGCCGAATAGTAGAATGCATACATTGTGGTTGCAGAGGATGTTCAGGTTGAACACGGCACTTTTGTGTAAGGCACTTTCTTTTTATTGCTAATAGAATTACATTCAATTTTGTGTCCTGTAATAAAAATAAGTTAGATAACTCGTTTCTTCATTTAACCATCAAGTTCCACTTTTTGTACTGTGCAAATCGAGCGGCAAAATACAGCGGTGTTTGCACACGCCAGTCATATGTGACACATTTGTTTTCAGACTCAATATTCACTCGCAGCGTGTCAGCATTTTTCCGAAAGGCAGAGATCACGATATCGGTACCAAAACGCATTCTCGGCAAATGCATCAGTTTCTCCTCTCCATCCATAAAGATTTTACCTCGAGGTGTGATCATCAATGACGCTGCTCTTTTTAAAGTATCATGATTACCTTGCGGATTGCAAACTAACGCAATACCTTCATTGTCGTTCCCTTCTTGCGAAACTTCTAGAAACTATATCATAAATAAATTAAGACTAAATTAAGAATGTATGGACGAATAATGTAAATAATAAAACGTTGTTTATAATTACCTTAAATTCAATAATGTGATTTGCATCGAATTGAGGACCTTGTGAAAACAAGGTGCTCACATTGTCGGTGAGTTTCGCAGCAATTTTACCATTATTAGTGATCACGTAATCTTTGTTATCGAATTCCCAATCTGTAAATAATGTTTGTATTAGTAGCACAATATTTCACAATAAAAAATAAAAAATCTAAATTATTTTTTTATTATAAAGTTCATTCATTTCAAAGTCTAAGTACATACTGTACGGTGGTATTGAAGTCCGCGCGACATGATGCACACTCCTTGCAACGTTGTCCCCCTGTATTCTGACTCTGAGCGTGACTGGTTGATTGACAGGTATATTTCTGATGAAGCAAGAAGTCTCGGATCCTTTATACGCCGTCTCGAACTCGTTCGACGCCGAGTCTAGAATCTCTCCGTTGGCCTTCTCCACGACAAACGTCTGTTCCTCGGCGGTGTATTCCGGATTGGTGATGTGCCATTTAACGAATAGACCCGCAGGCCTCTCGTCGATGCTTGTTATCTGAACTGGCACTGTGCGAGAGATACAACCGAGTCTCGAGATTTGCTCGATAATTTCCTCCCTGCACGAATTCAGTGGACTGTCGAAGTTTATATTTGGGAGCTCCTCGGAAAATGGCACTGCTGGTATCCTTAAAAACAACGTTTCGTTATGAAATTATTTCGATAATTCTTACATTATAAACGCAAAGTTCTCTCTCACCTGCCTATGTCGTTACTCGCAGCGATTATCTTTTCGAATCCGCTCGCGCTGTATCGCTGTGGATGTTGCAGCATACTCTCGCTCGCCGACATGATGTTTTGTGCGTTTTGTATTTGTGCCTCCACCTCCTTTCTGCAAGCTCTCAGCGGTATCAAACTCTCCTGTTTATGAATCTCTGTCTCCAGTATCAGCTGTTCGCGTCTCTTATTGATTTCGTGGCACACATCATCTAGCAAAGATTGAAATGTTCCGTCTATATCTTTTAACGTTCTCATCATATTATTTTCTATCTAACAAAAGAATTTCCTCCTGTTAATACAGTTGCCGAGCATGAAAATAAATAAAAGAACAATGAAATTTAGAAGAAGCATATTTACTTGTTGATCAGCATTGTCAAGATCTTTCAATTGATAATCCAACTTTGCTATGTACTCTTGTGCGGATTCTACAATAACTTTGAGATTGGCTTCCACATTTTCCGGCAATGCTTCTCTTTTCTGTGCGAAAGCATCTTCTGCATTGAAATGTGATGCGTTTGCATCCCGGTTTTTATCGATACTTCTTTCATATTGATTTAGTTTCTTCAAATTGCACGCTAATCTCGTTAGAAGTTCTTCCTTCCTTGTATTTTCATTGCCGTTATTGGATATCACAGAACTTGTACTAGAAATATTTGGCATTAATGGTTTTATTACATGCTTGTGTAATAATTCTTCACGATTGTCGATTTGCTCTTTTTCCGACAGATTTTGATTGGTCAGTGCTTCCAAAATCCGTTCCATATCTGAAAAAAAAATTTTTAATTCACATAAATAATTTCAATATTGATAATATTTGAGATTTATAAGTATTAAAATTTCACACAATTTACACGAAATTTTCTGCACTAATCACAGGTACTCTTTAATTAATTTATGCCAAGAATATTTTGCATAGCAATCGATAGGATTTGCTTGAATTTCTCTCTCAGTAAAGGTTTGGGTTTGCTGACTGTTTAACATTAAGTATTTCTTCAATCTTTCTTCCGGATATTTCGCAAACTCTTGCAACTCAGTGCAATCTGTTTCATTATTGCCAATTTGAGGACTGTTCTCATTATAATTCTTATTCGGTGTCAATAATGTGCCACTCCAATAATCTGCATCATTATGATCGTGCAAAGACGCTTGAGTACCAATTCCTATAATTTGCCAAGAATATTTTATGCTGCACATTTTGTACGCAGGCTTATTGTTTTCTGTACTGATATTATTTAATAAATTTTGCAGCAAGGTGTATGATGTTTGTGTGCTTGTTCCGACAACTTGCCAGGAATATTTTATTTCACAGTCGTAAGGTTTTCTGTTATAGATTTTAACATCTTTCATCCTGTATTTACTGTCACATTGTTTTCTTTGAGAAGACGGTGCCCAACTTTTCTTATCAATAATATTCCCATTTTTAGACTGAATCTTAGCTAAAGAGGAATTGTTTACGGGAGACCAATTTGTATTAGTGGATTTTAAATAAGATTGTAGGGAATGTGGGAAGTTGATTCCTGATAGAACATCATTTTCGTAATGTAACACACTTATCTCATATTCACTGTTGATGGGATGTAAATGCTGCGACGCCATTCTAGACACTGATTTCCTTTCAATATTTGCAAATGTTTTCTTATTTTCAATCTTGAAACTTGATGCTGACTGTGTCGACACTGAAACAGTGTCTGTACAATCATAGAATGATTGACTTGATAATGACACAACTGGTGATTTGCTCATGCTAATTGGTGTTTCTATGCTTGGCACAAGTGCAAATTTATCTTCATATTTCGTCTGACCTTCCTTTACTTGTGACAGATTGCACTTCCTTGACAATTTTATAGATTTTGAACTTCCTTTGCACAAATCCTTGTTACTTGTTAATGGTGCTAATTGTTCAAGCATTGTATTAGGGAAATGTAATGTGTTATTCTTTTTATCGTGGGACAATTTTTTTGACAGGTATGAATTTTGCAAAATACTGATTTTCTTGATATCCGGAGAATCTGTCTTTCCAGAAATAGTATACTTTGTACTTTGATTCTTGGGTTTCCGACAATTCATTCTGTTTACCTACAGTTTCAATTTTCAGATAAGCTGATATTTCAAATAAGATTTTACAAGATTATTTAGAAATGTATATAATAAGCAAAAAAAAGAAAAGTACATGTTTGTATCAAGAATATATAGATATTTAGATTGACCTCAAGTAAGTTATCCAGAGGATTATATGATGCTGTTTTTGGAAATAATAATGCAGGATTATTTTTACAATTATGTGCCTTCAGAATCTGAGGTTTATGTTTGAAGAAAGAAATGTTAAAGCTTTGGTTGGAGGGCACAGGTTTCACAATAGGGATCATTACATTTCTAGTATAAAGCATTACATCTGGCATAATCATCCTTTTCTTCTGCGAATTCACAGTTTTTATCAGAACTTGATCTCCCATGCTGAACACGTCTACATTAAAGTATCATCATATCAAAAAACGTGTCTTATGTACAAATATTCCTTCAATATATAACATTCCTCTTTACAATCCTAACCTATACACTCGAAATATTTTAATATTAAAAATTAAATGTAAAACTAGAGAGCAAATTGTGTTTTCTTTACAATAAACTTATTTTCTACATTTCACAATATAGATTGTTCATAACAAAATATATTTATATGTAATTTGAAATTGTTTACTCAATGCATATTATTATGCTTTAATTATGTTATTAACATCATATCTCGTTACATGATGATTGTTCATGATAACAAAATCTAACAAGGCCCACATATCTTTTAAAAATAATGTGAATGATTCATACGAGAGAAAAAAATGAGAGGAAAAATATATTGACTCGTTCATACTTTTGATACTCACAGACAGTTTATAGATTAACTTAGGGATGATTAATTAAAATCCGACTCTCTGGCAAGAATTGGCGGAACACGAAAAAAATTTAGAGCGTAATCACGAGTGTTTTTGCCGAAAAATTATAACATTTGAAATGCACGCGTAATCGCGAATTTCCACGGGCGGTGCATCTTGTTGCACTCAATCGTTCTAAATATAACCAATGCGGGCGTGATATCACACGACATGTAATAGACAATTACACCATCGTATACGCGTAATTTTTAGACACAGTCAGAGATTTTTTTATATTATATTATGTACGAAAATTATTTGATACGAGCAACGATTCAATTAGTGCAATACACGAAGGGGTCATTAATATTTATATCGCTATATTTATATGATAAAGTACATTGTCATTGCGTTTTATATACATATTGTTATATTTAAACATTATAATACAATCCAATATCACATGATCCTCCCTGACATTAAATTAGAATCAGAACACAAAATAAAATAATTAACAACAAATAATACATATGTAAAGAAGAGAATGCGAATGACGGCACATCATATGTGTTACAAATTAATACCACGACTTATAACATTTTTTTTTAACCATTCCATCTCTAATCGTAAATAAATATATTTTTACATATTTTTATAAAGAACTTCATTCAAAACCTTATCAGAATCTAAATCCTTTATCACAAAGTTTTGCATATATTTGCACTAAATATTATAAATATGTATCCTACACCAGGATTTGTTATTAAAGTCGTTCGCTATAAAATTTTTTTCATGCACCAGAAATCGCTGGAAATAGACGAAAGAATTATGTCGTAGAACATGCTAAAGAGAGTACATATATATATAATTAAAGTTTCATAGAGAACCGTGAATGTTTTCGTTTCTGAAAATGTTCCAGTAAAGCTAATTTTGTCTCTTGAGAAGTTGATCGATTTGCGTTTTGTACATGTCCTTGATGTCCTCGAGGTCGAGTCGCAACTCCTGATTCTCCTCGACCTTTTCGCCGTACATTTGCAGCAGCGCGTCGTATCTGGTTTGCGTTTCGCTAAGGCTTTCATTAAGCGCCTGCACTTCCGAGACTTTAGTATTCAAATCCTCGACCTTCAGAGCCAACGTTGCTAATTCCGAATTCAACGCATCCCTCTCTATGTTCCGCCGAGATAACTCCCACTGCAGCTGCTGTATCTCGCCTGTAACGATAAAATAAGATCACGGTCGGTGACGTCAAATAACGGAGAACAAGATTACCGATATTATTGAGAAACGTGTAAGCTTACCGTCCCTCTGTTTCAGTTGAGCTTGCAAATTTTCGAAGATTGACGTGCTACTCGAACCTGCTCTGATGTTCTCATACGATATCGGAGGAAATCTACCGGAGCTATTGTCGAATACTGAATCGCTAAACTGAAAAAGTCAATTTATACGTATATGAACTAATTGTTAACTTTATAATCTCGTTATAATGTTAAAACGCTTACACCCGGCCAGACGCTGTTCGCACTGCTGACGGATTCTTGTCCTATACTGAGGGTTGGACTGAATCGCGACTCCTCGTCGGTATTTTGCTGCTGCTCCAGGATAGCATTATTTCTTCTTCGTTCTGCGTCGGTCGCTGCTTTCTCCACGGCCAATTTATTCTCCAATGCATTGATCTCTCTCTTCAGTTCCTGTACGTAACTGGAATGCGTCTGCTCGAGAGTCTTTATCGTTTCCTGGTGTCTGCAATTTAAACATATTATAAATTTGATGGCATTATTCTTATATTTCAATATATTTGCATATCCTAAATGCTTACTGCTTGGTTTGCTCTAACAATCTTTCGTTTTCGTCTTTCAACTTATCGCGTGACTCCTGCAATCCTAACCTTTCTTTCTCTTTTAGATTAAGCTTCGATTCTAAGTGCGACTCTTTGGATTTCAGATTAACGTTTTCTTCTCTCAAAAGACGATCCATCTCGATTAAATTCTCAATTTTAGACTGCAATTCGATATTTTTCTCGGACAGAACCTTCTCTTGCTTCATGAAGTTGTTAGATTTATGCAACAAGTTTGCTTGGAGCTGTTCTAGCTGTCTTAATAGAGGCTTTGTTGCTACCGAAACAGATTCAGATAACTCTTCACTCCTGGCCTCTGCGGCTTCTAATCGTTTTAGTAACTCGCTGTTTTCGTGCTTGAGAAACTCTTCCCTTCTATACCATAAAAATATAAATACCATTAGTCGAAATTAACTGATGAATATGATTTCCATTTACATTTAACATACGATATTTACTTGACGTGAGCTTCCTCAGCTTGACGATACTTCAATTTTAAATCCTCCACTTGTGCAAACAACTGGCACGATTCCCCCGCATTATCTATGGCTTCTTTTAATTCCTCCTCCGTAGCTAGCAACTTTTTCTTCGTCTCTGTTAAGTCCCTGTTACGCGGAAATTTTTATGATTACTTTTATAAAACTTAGTATTTAATTAAAAATATTTCTATACACTCACACTTTTGCAGCGTCAAAGCTCTTTTTATAGGCTTCCATCTTATGTATGGTGTTATCCAATTTTTCTTGCAACATTAGTATCTCCTTTTCCTGCTTCTTTGTTTTCGCCGTTAATGTATGAACGGCTTCTATTTGACTGCGTTCTACTTCCTCCTTCGCGTGCAACGACCGTTTTAATCTCTCCAATTCTGTATTCTGCTCCTCGATTTGCTCTCTAAAAGAATATCGATAAATGTGAAAATTATGATTTTCATTATTTTTAACTGTCAATAAGATTAAAATAACGATAAAAATGTAATCAAAGTACTTTTGACTCTTTATCGTTGCATCAGTCTCCTTTTCTTTCACCCGCAATTTTTTTATAATGTTGCTGTGTTGAAGCTGCTGTATGCTGAGTTTCTCGCCCTCCTCGCGCAGCTCTTTTATAATTTCATCCTTTTTCAGCGTTTATGGTAGACATTTCCTGCGACGATAGACGCGATGACGCTTCTAATCTCAGTTGATCCAAATTTTGCCTCAACAGATCACGTTCTCTTATCGCCTGTTGAAATTTTCTCTCCAATGCTGACAAACGCTGCGTGTATTCGTCTGTGATTTGATTGATACTTTGATTCTGCTCCGCGTGTTTCTCAAAATTCTCAAGCTGTCTGGAATAAAATATTTCTTCATCAATATCTACTTTATTCAAGAACAATGTTACAATACAGTTACGACGATCTTACTTCATTAAGTTTGCATTTTGCTCATGCAACTCCATGTTTATTCTGCTCACGTCGATTAGCTTTGATTCCCTCGCCTCTAAAATCTCAGTCATCTCTTGTATGCGTTTCAATAACTTTTCGATCTCCATATTTGCCTCATCCGATCCTACGCTGATCTCGCTCAATTCCCGGGAGTGGCCTCTGGTCTTCAAAGTTTTCGTTAGCAAATCGCTGCTTTTAGTTAGCTGCAATTTCGCCGGACTCTGTCGCGACTGGGTCGAACTCGAATCTCCGTTCGGACTGTTGGCAGAACGTTAACTGTTAATAATTTGATACCGAGCGTTAAGCAGAAACGTAATTATATACCTGGAAATTATCTCTATGTCGCTCGATGTTGTAGTTTCTAATTCGTCTCCGCTCGTGTGGCCACTGGCTTGATCAGAGCCGATTTTCACCAGATCGGAGCGACTAAAAGAAATAAATTTGTGTTACAGAAGCATTATAATTAATTCGAACAGTATGAGTCGAGTGATACCTTTCCGACGATATAGGTGAATTTTCTCGCGGCACTTCCGTGCAATGTGTCTCCATGTCGATTATTTCGCCCTTTTCGACCATAGCATCGGCTAGCATAGTCTTCACGTACGAACTAGTAGTCAAAGGCGTTTCTGAGACTTTCGAATCGTTTGTGCAGAGCAACGTCGCGTTGTCCTCTGAACTGCTCTCTATCAAAGTTCCTTCTCTGCTCGAATCGTTGGATATTAAATACTGATCAGCGTTACTCTCGGTCATCTTCGTCTTTTCCTCCACACTTTCGGTTTGAGAATAGCTATCCAGATCCGGTGGCTCTATGGTGGTGCTCATTAATTGGGAAAACGTGGAAACGTCCGGTTTCTCATTTACTCCTTCTAGATGATCCAAATTGCGAATTGGCTGTGTCGTGATTGGCTCGAGCGTTAGATGCAAATTGTGTTTCTCCTTCAGTGAATCGAGGCTCAAGTTTAATTTGCCGTCCGTGCAAGCTTTCGCCGACGTTTGCCTATCATCCGGATACGAGTCGTGCATCTTTATGGGTATTTTCACGTCGGACAGATCCATCTTGCTTATGACAGCGTCCAGCTGTTGAAACGACT